ATTGCGTTATTAAAAAATATTTCTATTTTAATTTATTGGTTTATTACAAAATATTTTCATGCGTATTAGGAAAATATAGCCGCTACCTACAATCTTGATTCAATTCTGACTTATAACACTATTACTGGAGTCTGGTCTTCAATGGTAATGTTTTTCTTTTGCAAAACAATATTTATATCTTAATGTTACAAATTATTATAAATTCTTATAAATTCTTATAAATTATTAGCCTGTTACTGGTGAAATTCAAATCCCTAGGGTTAGCCACTCGGCTGTATTATCTCCTGATGGGTTTATTATTATATATGGTGGAATTTCAATAAATAATAATACAGTTAATCCGTTAGCTGTTTTGGATACGAACGTCAGCCCCTACATGTGGTCTATTAAACCAATGGTTGGTACTAACATTCCACCAATGCTTGCTTATCATACTGGTTCTATAATAGGAAGATATATGATTTTGGCATTTGGTAATTATTGTACTAATGTCAACCCTCGTTAATATTAACCCATTTGGATTAGACAATTGTGTTGATATATACAAGGGTTGATAATAACGGGGTAGTTTTATATAGACTAAGCCTATTTTTTCTTGCACCCCTGCTTTCTGTGCCAGGTTATGTAGATCATTGTGATGCAGTAAAATTTGTTAAAATTCATTAATGTTAGGGTTAGCGTTTAGAATGAAGTTAGAGATTAGGTGGGCACATAGTAAAATCACTCAAGGAAAACTTTTTGTTAGAACACTAAAGGTGGTTTTTATACAGATTCTTGAGAAAGAAGTGATTTTGGACAAAACGAACGTTGGTTTTAAAATTTCCTGATATTATACCTGATTCATGAAATCCGATTTGTGGATCAGGGATCTGCGTCACAATGATCGACATAACCTGGCACAGAAAGTAGAGGTGAATAAAAGATTGATATTTAACGAAATTGATATTAATGAGAGTTAACTATATTATTTATTTATTTAATTATAATCTTAATTTACTAATTTCTTTTTTAACCTTTTAAGGTATTTTTTATGCAAATGGTTCATTCAACTTTGATAATGAGAATTTAAATATATATATTCTTGACACTCGAAATTATTCATGGGTTTCATTTACATCTATTGATGATAATGTTGATATATCGACTAATTACAAAACAATTGATGTATTTATTGTATTTAGTGTTATTGTTGGAATTTTTATAATTACTACTTGTTTTATATATTTTTACTTTAGGAAAAAATATGCCATAATAATTATATAACAATAATAAAATATTTTATTATTTTCACAAGCTTTATAATGGCTATTTTTATTAAAAAACGGTTTTAATGATGCAAATAACACATTAATAAAATTTTAGTAATAATTCTGAATTTATTGCTATATATTTTTGAATATAAATAGGTATTCTATTTTAATCTAGTCTAGCTGAAACATGAGTTAATTACCAAGTTTCTGCAATTCACCAAAGAATGCTACAATGAATGTTTTTAGTATAGTATAGCATCATCAAATGTAATTTGATTGATAAATTTGATTTGATAAAATTGCTCAAATCTTTTTTGCATTGTTAAGATATACCAGAAACTATGCTTTATTTCGCAGCCTTACCTATGGTTTATCTATCTTCAGAATATAATGGCCAATTATAAATTTAATGCAAATAAATTTATTTTTATTGGCTAAATTAACATGAACAAAATTATGAATTTGAATAGTTATTTTGAATTAGATGGAAAATCGCTCCCAATTCAGAATTTGGTCTATGAACCTTAACGTCTTCACAAAATTACCGTACAGTGTGGATCACGGTGCTCCGGTATAATTCTATCTATAAGCAAAATTTGTAGAATAGCCGGAGTACTATACTAAAGAATTTTTCAGATTAAAAAATTTTTAAACATTATATATCCCAGGTATTTTACATTCTACAAATAGACCGTTAACGTTATAATTGTTTCCCGATACTCTATTTTATTTAGCTCTAAATCTCAGGGCTAACTTTAATTGATGAGAAAATAATTGTCATGCTACTTATAGATCGTTAAAAAAGTATAATTATATATATGCTGTGTGTCAAATTCATGTTTGTCAGGTTAAAATTTACGGCATTGTTAAATTACACCAGTGGTGTTTAACGCCACCGTTGTTATAACTCAAAAACTGTCTAAATAACGAGGTTGGATATATTAATTAAAAATGTTCAGCATTTCAAAAACCTCAACTTACTTTATTTTTAACTTTAATTTTATTCTATAGTATCTAATCTTATCCTAGCTTTTAGCTCTAACCTTAAGTATAGACAACAAAATTATAATAAAAATTTATATGGTGTTCGGTGCGATTTATATTAATTGAAAATTTAAATACTAGGAATGTGGTGGAAGCCTATGTTAGAAGTAGTGATTGGACCCGTCCTGAAAATTCAAGCCGGTGGGTCACCTAGGAAATATATTCATGAATACTTAACATTTATTGCGCTTTTCAAATTACTGTGATCAACAAGTTCCACGTATCACAATGGGAATCTGAAATATAAAATAAATGCGAATACATGATTGGCTAAAATTATTTCCAGCCAATCACATGTACGTGAAATTTTGCTGATCACAGTAATTTGAAAAGCGCAATTACGTGTGAAATTTACTATGCGGATTTAATTAAGTTTAGATCTTTAACGTTTGAGAAATCTAATCTATGAAAATCAATTAGTAAAGATTTTTATGTAACGTACATAATAAAATAATGTGAAAGTCTAATTTCGATAAAAAGTTTATTTTTCGGATTATGAAAAAATTCTATTACATTAAAATAAGCTATTCACTGATTAATATGTGGAATATTGGAAATACTATTTGAAATATTTTTTACAAAAAATTGCAAACTTCAAATTTGCATGAGGGTTCAGTGGATCGCATATTTAATGTAATAGAGTGCTTTTGTCATAACCCAAAAAAATAGACATTTTTTTTTATCCAAATTAGACTATTGCTGCAGTATTTTATGATTATGTTACACAAAAATTTCCACTAATTGATTTTCATATGAGTTGTCGCCAAAAGAAAACATACGCATTTAAATTTAGAGCTTGTACAACAGAATGAGGGTTTCAAAATTATTTTAGAATACATGTAAACAAAGAATGTTCGCTGATCATTTGCTACGTACTGTACGTACGTACGTACGTACGTAATTAACAAGACTCCGTTAGAAAAGTTATACATGACGTGATCTTTAGTTTAACAGCTGTTGTACGTACGTACGTACCAAAAATGTAGAATAATCAGTCCGAATTAAATAAAAACCCCGCATTTTTGTGTAAAAATTCCATTTAAAATGTGTATGTATTCTTTTGGTGGCACTCGTATAAGACTGCATATAGATCTGATTTACATATTATATTGCACAGGACAAATATATCTCCCAAAATTTCCCAAAGTTTATTTATGTTATGATAGCACCTAATTAAGGTTAGTAAATTTATTTGTTAGAGCACGAAGGGAGGTTCTGATGTATTGTCTTGAGAAATGAACGATTTTTTTAGACTAACGTTCGGTTTGAAATTTTCCGGTCGTGTTATGTTACACTAAATTTTGACTCACTATTGGCTAACAGATACGGAAGAATCTTCTGCAGAAGATCCTAAAAGTACCCATATCGCACACCCCCACTGTGTCACGTATCAGTAAGTATAAAGGATGTGCACGTACGTACGTTCGTACGATTTTTTCGGCATACAAAAATAATGGAAAATGCAACAGAAGAATGGGTTGAAAAAGCTATTTCCGATGGAGATATTAATAATCTTGAATATAATAAATTTACAGATCCTACAATGATTGGCAACGGAAGCTTTGGAAAGGTTTTTAAATATGAGTGGAAAGATTGTTATTTAAAAGTTGCCCTTAAATGTCTTAAGATCGATGCTGATACAGAATTAAATGAAGAAATTATTAAAGATTTTATTAATGAGGTACTTATTATATTAAAACTTGAATTGCTTACTAGTATAATATTATATACATTTTTTTTTTATCAAAAATCTGAAATTAAAGCTTAAACTATTAAGAAATGTTGACCATCCAAATATTATTAAATTCTATGGGGTCACGAAAGGTATACATACGGTTCATTTTTCCTAAATATAAAATAATTAATATTATAATTTATGTCATTAATTACAAATAAATAGATAATAATGGGTATTATAATATGGTTTTACAATATGCTAATGACGGAAATTTACGAGAATATCTGAACGCATATGCCGAGAAATTACAATGGGCAGACAAATTGCAGATTGCTGAAGGAATAGTGCATGGTCTTTTGTTTTTACACGATAACAATATTATTCATGGAGATCTCGTAAGCATATAATGTTTATATGTTTATGCGTTTAACTACAGTAATTAATGTTTGATATATATTTCATAGCATTCGAAAAATATTTTAATTCATCAAAGACAGCCAAAAATTTCTGATTTGGGACTTTCAAAGCAGACAAATGAAATATTTATGACTTCAAACTCAATTATTCACGGAATGCTGGCGTATACCGAACCTAAATGTTTTATCGACCATAGATATAAATGTGATAAAAAATCTGATATCTATAGCCTTGGAATAATTCTCTGGGAAATTTCAAGTGGAAGACCACCATTTCAAACTTTCGAATCTAGAAATTCACTCATTATTCACATATCCCAAGGAAATAGAGAAGAGCCTATAGAAGGTACACCGCTTCAATATATTGAACTTTACAAACGATGTTGGGATAACGATCCTGCCAACCGTCCAGAAACAAAAAAAATTGTCAATACTTTAAACCAACTTAATCCTAACGAAACTTTGACTCCACAACATCCCATTGGTGCATCAACTCAAAATATCGACATTTCCTCAAGTTGTCAAGATAATGTAACAGCAACAGAAAATTTGCTCGATTTTACGACATCATCTCCACTTTATTTGCCTGATACAATAAATTCAGGCCTTTCAATGCAAGACGATTTTATTAAGGATATGAGAAAAGGTTCATCACCAAATGAAATTCCATTATTATCCGGTATATTTCGACTATTTTCAATAATCGCGCAACAATTTCAACAAATTGGTAACGATGATGAAGAGCAAATCATAAATTCTCCAGATTCGTTGCACTTGGGAGAGGTTGATCAAGAAACAACAATAGATAATTTTCAAGCGGCTGAAAATTTTACAATAAAAAATCCTCCACAAGAAGAAATACCGCCTAAGGATCATATAATATATATTCAAAGTTTAGGTGGTGCTATAGCTTGGGATTGGGATCCTGATGATTCATTATTAAAACAGCAAATCGTTTTTATGACGGATGAGGGTAAAGCTATTAACTTTAATAAGCGATTAGACTCTATGGTACAAACGAACTATCCATTTTTTATACCTCAAGTTGAAGGAGATGTACTCTATGAGGCACCGTTTGGACGACCAGAAACCATGCCACATCGACTAGGTCAGATGTTGCATTATTTTGAAATAACGGTCTTGGCAAATCCTGATCCAAGAAATACCATTATCGCTATAGGGTTGGCTACCAAGCCTTACCCTCCTTTTAGGTATTTATATAATTAATAATGTTGCATATGCTTAATGTACTATATAGCTAAATAACGAAAATAAATAACAATCATAAACTCATAAATAACGAACATGAATAATAAACATATTAATATTATTATAGGTTACCTGGATGGAATATATACTCCGTAGGTTTCCACTCTAATGGAAAAAAATATAATGATGGATTCAGCGGCTATGAATACAACCAAGCATGGGGTAATGTCGGTGATACCATAGGTTGTGGATACAATCCTGATGTTGGGCATGTATTTTTCACCAAAAATGGATATTTTCTTGGCAATGCTTTCATGGGAATACGTCATGTCTGGTTTCCAACTGTCGGATCAAATGGATCATGCACTATTATGACCAACTTTGGAGATTCTGAGAATGAATTTAAGTATGAAAATGCACGTGGCTATGGGCCAGGTGGACCTCTATTGATAAGTAGTGAGCAACTGGAATATAAATGGCAGAATGGCAGTAATAGAAGTAGCAGATTTTTGTAGACGAAGATAAAGAAACAATTACTTATATAGAGTTTTGTTTTTATAAAATGTTATAAGAATTACTAACATCAAAGCTTGTTTTGTTCATTAACATAAAGATTGTTAGCACGGAATTCGGAGAAAATGTCATTATTATTTACATCGATTAATTTATAAATAGGTTCATGTTATAAAACTCCCTTGTATTTTTAGTTAGCATATGAATATATATAAATCCCAGGTTTAACATTAGACTTTCTATGTGAGCATTGAGCCTTAGAAGAAATGTAAACGTTTCAATTTATGCATTTATACATCTAAAGCTTTATATACATGCATTTATGACCAACTTTTCCTCCGCATCCTGCATGTTCTTAGACATCTTAGGACAATGCTGCTCAAAATCCCATTCAAAGCTTGTGTTTTAATCAAATAATTTCAAGTCTAAAATTTGATTGAAAATATCTTCATAATCAACCTTAATAAATTTATTTTTAAGTAAAATAAAAATTCTCAATCAAATTTTTTCATTTAATTAAAATTCAGGCTTTAAGAAGCACTATCTTAAAATTTTTATCTTTAGAGCATAGATAAAGATCTCTGTGATTGGTTAAAATTTTGACTATCTTAAAATAAGGCAGAGAGAAGATATTGTACCAATAGTTGAAATGTTACAAATCTCTTATAATTTCACTGCTCTATAATAATGTACATGTCTTATTCTATAAATTTTAAAATAGTTTTCACTTTTTTAATTAATTTATTCAATATCTACACTTAGTGACTTCAAATAAAAAGACTAAACTTTGTACAAGTAAATACCATCGAAGCAAATCATAAATTTTGAATACAAAATTAGTAATTTAATACAGCCTATTTTGTCAAAGCTGGTATGCATAGCAGACGGATTTTGAATCAGTTTTGAGAAGTTATTAGATTTAAACACCTAAGGCCGCTTGAAGTTGAAACTTTGTTTAACGTTATCCCCCCCTCCATCTCCCGGGTTCCCCCCAAAAATTAAACA